GGAGGCAGGTCCCTCTGGTCTGTCTCATAGCACCCTGACCTTGGCCCCCCACCTGCAAAGCAGTAACAAAATGCATCTGTCCTTTAAGCTGCCCAGCCTTGATATTTTGTTCTTACAGCCAGGCAGACTAAGACAACAAGCAAGCCAACAAAAACATCTAAGTATGAGGGGTTGGGATGTAGCTTAATTGGTAGAATGTTTGTCTAGTGTGCACAAGGCTCCAGGTTCATCCCCAGCACTAAATAAACGGGCATGGTGGTCTGTGTGTATCATACCAGGGGCTCAAGAGACAAGAGAATCAGGAATTCAAGGTCTACACAATGTATTGGAAGCCAGCCTAGGACACATGGAGCTCATCATGAGAGAGAGAGAGAGAGAGAGAGAGAGAGAGAGAGAGAGAGAGAGAGAGAGATAGAGTTTCCAAAAGGGAAAGAAATCTAAGGACAGAGAATAAAGGAAGGTTTTTCTGGAACTCTTTGGTCATAAAACAGGGGGAGCCATCTCTCCCTGAAGAACTTGGAAGGTGTTAAACATTGTTAAAAACCCTTTAAAAGTTAGTGTTAGCCGGGAAGTGGTGGCGTTGCCAGGTGGCGGCGGCGCACGCCTTAAATCCCAGCACTTGAGGGGCAGAAGCAGGCAGATCTCTGTGAGTTCAAGGCCAGCCTGGTCTACAGAGAGACTTCCAAGACAGGCTCCAAAGCTACACAGAGAAACCCTGTCTTGGAAAACAAACAAATAAATAAGTAGATAAAAGTTAGTGTTGATGATAGGATCATCAAGTTCTTTACTGTAAGCTCTGCCTGTGATGTTCATTTTCCTCTAAATAAATGAAAATGTTCGGTGGTGGGGTAGGTAATTTCACTACCTAATTTGCAGCTATTGGATACTGGCTGCTTTAAGCCAAAGGACTGTCAATCAAATAGCCAGCCAAATTACACTTACGACAGTATAAAGGCCTTGAAAAAAACTGCGATGAATCAAAGCTGGTAGCTTGGCTCCTCAAGGTGCAGCTTTAGCATGGACTATTTCCAACCATTTGTAAAGGACTTTTTGCTCTCACAAGCCTTGGTGAACTCTACATATGACTGTAACCATTCTGTAAGCCAGGGGAGAAGCACTTCCTTGGATGGTCTAGCAGAGGGGCTGCTGGGATTGGTGCCCAAAGACAAGGATATGATTGGTGAAAACACAAACCCTCATTTGTATGTGAGGTGTACTATGATGGTTGAAACATAAACTTTCATTAGCATATGAAATGAGCTGGGATTAGTCCAAACACCTCTTCTCTGGCTATATAAACAGGCTGTTTAGGCTTATTTAAAGAGCTAGCTGGGGTAATATCCTGCTTTGTGCCTCTTTTGATATTACAGTACTGGGGTGAATAAAAGGCCTCTCTCTCTCTCTCTCTCTCTCTCTCTCTCTCTCTCTCTCTCTCTCTCTCTCTCAGATAACCTGGAACTTGCAATGTAGACCAGACTTGTCTCAAAGTAACAGAGACCCAGACATGACTCCCAAATGCTGGAACTAAAGGCATATATTGCTACATTCAGCTTTTAAAATTTTTTATTGATTTGTGTATGTATGTTTGCATGTCCAAGTATGTGTGTTCACATATATTTAGGTGAAGGGACCAGGACCAGTTGTTTTTTTTTTGTTTTTTTTTCCCTAGGGGCCAGTTAGCTAAGACCTCTGCCCCATATTACCCCACCATCCTATGTTGATTCATGTGTAGCTTCAACCAGACCCTCAGGAAATATGTCCAATCTAGTAGCCAATCAGAGTCCTATCCGGCCACAAGCAGGAGCTGTTCTTGCTATTTTCAGTCAGAGAGACCCCTAACACAGCAGACAGACCCCTGACACCACAACCACAGTTGCTAACCAAATGTCATGAGCCAATCATAAAATGATTCCTGTATCAGTAGGAATCTATACCCAATCACTTCAAAGTACACTTAATCACAGCTGGAATTCCCCTAAGCAGGCTTAAAAGGGGCTGCTTTACCCTGACCCCAGGGTCAAAACCATTTTGGGCAGGCCCCAGCATACTGGTCTTTTCTCAAGAATAAAGCTGCTTTCTGCAGTTGTGTATCAGGTGTCTTCTGGTCATTTGGAATGATCTAAGGACCCTACAGTAGGGAGGCCAGAAGCCAACATCAGGTGTTTTCATCATTCTCCGAGTTCTGTTTTGAGACAGGTTCTGTTTTGAACATGGAGATTGCTGATTGAGGCAGACATGAACCCCAGAGATCCTGTCTTTGCCATGCACCCCGCAGTGTTGGAATTAAAGCACTTGCCACCACAGATTTTGGCATGGGTTCTGGGGGCTGATGCTTGCAAAGCAAGTGTTTTAACAACTAAGCAAATTCCCATCTTTTCAAAGCATCTTGTGAGTGGGCCTTTCTTCCCTACTTTTAGTAGTGCAGGCTGAGTTGGTAGCACGAAAGCAGCACAGAGGCAGGGGAATGGCAGCAATGGTATGTTAACTTCTTTTTCGTTGCTGTGATTAAGTATCATGGTCAAAGTCATCTGCAAAAGAAAAAAACCAATGATTTTGGTTTATGGTTCTCAAGGGATAGACCATAATGACAGAAGAGGCATGGCAACAGTGGCCAGGACAGGTAGGTGAGAGATCACATCTCCAACCACAACCATGAAGACGAGAAAGCAAGTGAACTGGAAGCAGGTGGAGCTATGAACTCTGTCGGTCTGACCGACAGGTCCAGCCGGTCTCTCCCTGGGGCTGAGCAGGATGATGAGTGTCAAGCGCCCCCCACACCCTCCTTCCTGTCCAACAGAGAGAAACATACTGAGCCGGGGGTCTTGTCGAAGCAGGAACTCGCTTTATTGTATCAGGAGTGAACTTATATAGGTTGGAGTGATGGGGGGATGGGGCAAGGACAGCGGGCCAATGAGATGATGCCATCTCACAGTTACTAGGCAGAGGCCAATTCTAGATCAGGTACGCAGAAGTCATGTTCCAGGACAGGTCACCAAACTCGAGCTAGGCTCTGGAAGTTACATTGGGCCTCACGCCCGGGCCTTGTGGGGCCCAACACTCTCAAAGGCCACTGCCAGTGACACACTTCCTCCAGTAAACCTGTGCTACCTAAAAGTCCCCAAAGCAGCCCCACCAACTGGGAATCAAGTGTTCAGATACCCCATCCTATGGGGGGACATAACTCATTCAACCCCACAGGTGTTGACTGTTGACCAGTAAGGCCAAAAGGCGAGAGCAAGGAGAGACAGCTGGCTAGTTAGAGCTGAAGAGGACACAGCTGAGCAGTTCAAGAGCCCACAGACACAAGGTTCATAGGGGAGAGAGGAGAGGATAAGGAGAGAAGACTACGGAGAGCCAGTGAAGAGTTCCAGGTAACTGTCAAGCTCACAATTGAACATAGCAACTTTACTTGTAAAAATCCCAGAGAGCGACAAGATATTTTTCAGGAGGTGAGTGGATAAACAGAGGAATACCCAGTTAATGGAGAATTACTGAACCCTGGGGACAAACTTGCTTCCTGCTGCCCCAGGGCACCCAGGAAACCTAGCCAATGTTCCCAAGAAAGGAAAACTGAGATAGTTTCTTGTTGCTCAAGGCCGGTCAGCCTTGTGACATTCTGGATAGGACGAAATGGGTGCAGAGGTCATGTCGGTGACTGGAGGGCCTGGGGAGGACAGGGGCCAAGGGCATCTGTAGAGAGACTGCTCCCCGTGGCCCTGTGACGGTAGGACACAGCATCATACCCGTGTCCAAACTGGATGTCGGGAATGGACTGCGAGCACCTCCTAGAGGAGGGGACACCAGCGGTGCCGCTCGCAGATGAACAAACAGATCTCTGTGCAGTGAGGGCTGAGCTCCGGAGAGGCCACTGGAAACCTTGTATCTTCTGCTTGGTTTCTCTCCGAGTCCCAAACCCTCTAGAAATAAACTCGACCAAGAATTCTTCAAGACTGTTGAAGAACAAAAAGACCGGAGAGGGGG